AAAAAAAAAAAAAAAAGAAATGCTGCAAGGTGAGAGATTTTGAAGAGCCAGTGTTAGTAATGAGAAAATGTAATAAAAGGCCGAAATCAAATAAAAACATGTTTCAACATACTTTAGCTTGATGTGAGGTCATGTGTTCCAAGTATTTCCTTAATTTTTCTGCACTATATGAGAATTCTTTTAGTACCTGGTTTACTCTTGGGAGTTTGGGTTTCTTGTAGTGAATTGTCTTGTATAAAGGCTGCAGGCGAGATCAGTGCGTGAGAGGTTTTTCAGCAGCTGCTGGGCTGTTGAGGATCACGCTGGTGTCGGTAATTCCAGTGACTGGCAACAGCGGATCGGTGCGAGCTCCTGTGCCCCAGACCGTAAGATACTTCTGTGAGTGTCGCGGAAAGAAAGGCTTTTGTTTTCTGGTAAAATCAGAAGTGCAAAAAGGAGCAGAAAGCTTTCGGAGGCCAAAGGGACTCGCGTGGAACAGAGGATGAACGGTAGGGGAGTTCTTAGAACAAGCACGTTTAGGGGGAAAAAGCTCAGGATTTTGGTTTCTGTTCGCATTTTCAGTTTGCAGTCTGTGTTCGGTGTCCGTGGCAGACTGAAGTGTCTGGTCCGCGAGCACCTCGTCCAGCTCAGCCTGCTGGGTGTTCTTTTGTCCTTGGTTTAGCAGGCACACGTAACTATTGCACTGAACACTGTCTTGTACTTGCTTTGTTACCAGAGGAAATGTGTTAATGTGTGCTTGAAATGGCTTTGTTTCTTTTTCAAGCCTGTTTCTGGAAGTTCTGGTCGAACCAGATCAGCAATGCTGTTTCGGTTTTGGCAGCTCGAGAATGGGAGGTGACTTTGCCGGCGCTGCTTACCGGAGCTCTGCCAGGCGACACCGGGAGCTCTGCCAGGTGACACCGCCACCCTCCGACTGGTGTCGCGTAGAGCTGTCCCGTGCTGTTCTGCCGAAGGAGGGAGGGTTGCACCCGCTCACAAACCATTCGAGTTGTCGTTAGTTCATAAAAGCCAGGGGTTGTGTCAGGTGAAGTGTAAAACGTTGTGAGAGGTGGCCTGCTGTTTTTTCGTGAGAGTGATTATTTTCTTTTTTTCACAGGTTCTTTAAAGAACTTGAAGCAAGACATCAGAACAACATCTTCATTGATGATATTAGCGATATAGTTGAAAAGCACACTTCTTCAACGTTCGATCCCTACGTCAAATACTGCACCAACGAAGTCTATCAGCAGCGAACGCTGCAGAAATTACTGTAAGAACTGATTTCAAAATGTGATTGCAAAATGTGACACCCCTTTGTAGTGGGAGCGAGTAGCAGGCTGCGGCGTTCGGTGCAAAACCTACGGCTTCCCCCCAAGCCTGTGCTGACACGCTCGGCCTTCCTGAGCGTGCAGGTTCCTTGGAGGTAATGGGGAGTGAAAGCACGCCTGGCTGCACAGCCCAGGCCTCTCTGGGTCATGGGTGACAGTCCCCTTCCAGCGAGACGTCCCGTTCAGTCAGTGTCAAAGACACGGCTTCCCTCGCGCGTCACATCGGTCCCTCTGCCCTCGCGTTCACGTGTGGGAGCACTGGGGGTTTCCAGGTGCCGATACTGGTCTTGCACGTATCTGAGTAAATACAGCTGAAGGCTTACTTGATACAGCTACTTCAAATCACACTTCCCTGTTAATAAAATCAGGGCTTATTTAAAATCTAGCAACTTTCACAGTTCTTTGGCAAAACGTACCATTTAATTCTCTCCCCTTTTCCCACCAGAGCCACAAATCCAGCATTTAAGGAGGTGTTGTCACGAATCGAGTCCCATGAAGACTGCCGGAATTTACCAATGATCTCTTTCCTCATTCTTCCCATGCAGAGGGTTACTCGTCTTCCCTTACTGATGGATGTGAGAACAGTGTTATTTTTCTACTTTTCCTTGATGCGTGTTCTTTTAATGCTAGCGTTCTTTCACGTTCATTCCTAGTTCATTCCAGTCTCTTCGTGTCTTCTCGCTTACACCAGGTACAGGGCTGTAGATACTGGTCTGTGGATGTGAAGTACCGTAGCATTTGTTTGCTTACTGTGGTTGGTATCTCCTGTTCCTGATCCCCCACTGAAAAATTAAAATATTTAGACATCCTAATAGAAAAGTAGTACAGTAAAGGGTCGAAAGCTTCTGAAACCCAGGAGGAACCTAGTGCAGAATTTGTGTATTATGTTAGGATTAAAATTAAACAGTTTAAAACCCAAGACTTCTAGCATACAGATTGGGTAGGGGTCCTTTTGCAGTAAATACTTACGTTGAGGAATGGGGTTGTTAACCGAGGGTCTTAGGAGGGTCACAGTGTCCCCCTGAGGAACGAACTCCATTCTCAAGGGCAGGGGAGCTACTCGTGAGCGGAGCGGTGTTGATACTCCGTTTCCCACCAGCGTGTTACGCTGCGAGATGTTCCCTTCCTGTGCAGGTTACCGGGTGACTTGGGAAGTGTGATGAAGTGTGAGTATTTGCGAGGCACAGTTCACACCGAGATCCGTGGTATTTCAGTTAAGATGCTAGAACTAATTTGTGAGCCGGACCACAGCAATAGTGCAGATTAAAACCCAGACTGGATTCTAGCACTGGGAGGATCCAGAAACAGGACTAATAATTTTCTTCTCCTATATATTTGCAAATTTTGTGCTGATTAATCATCTGGATAGTTACTTAGTTCATTCATGGACATAGGATGCTTTCTTCTCTGCAGTACATTCCTAGGTAAAAAATGGAATGTTGATCCAGTGTTGCTTTGGTGTTGACCTTCCCCTTGTTTGTTAATTTTGCCTCCTTCCCCTCTTTGGCTAAAAAAATCTAAAGAAGCAAACCAAGCATTTTATTTTCCACTGTTCCAGTTTTGTTTGTTTGTTTTCCTTGGAAATGGTTGTGTAGATTATATTGAGGCTTCAAAATGAATTTGGTTAGTAGTTTTTTGTTTTGTTTTGTTTTGTTTTTTAAGGCTTCAGTACCAGAAGTATGGCTCCAACTACATTCAGAGATGAGGGAACGTAATTAAACCAAAGACTAATTTAATGTAAAATATCTTATGATGTTTTTGTTTCTTAATCAAGAAAGTGATTTAACTGGTCTGGTTGTGATAGGACTTCTCCTCTACCTCAAAAGAATAAACTCTGTCATGTGTAAATCATGGATCGGATTTACTTCCCGTAACTTCCCAATGTTTCCTCTGTTTGGATGCAGCAGGTGTCTCTCTTCCATGTACTTTTTGGTTCTAATAAACCAGTAGTTATGTATACTCCCATGGTACATGTGACAGTGTAGCCTTAAGAGCCTTTTCTGTCGATCCTTTGGAAACGCTTCCCTCCGCGCAGAGGTCAGGCAGAGTAACCTGGTGCGGCTCCCCACCGCAAGGGCGGTTGCACACAAACGGGTGTTTCACCTTCTAGGAAGAGCTTAACATTGGCACAGGGAGAACTGGTTCTCTGCGGCCGCAGTGGGGTGGCACTGGGGTTTGCAAGAAGTTCCAGATGGAACAGCCATCCCTCTCCTGCCGCCGCCCCTGAGTTGCTGCCGACAGAGGTTGGCCAGAGGCGCGAAACGTGGCTTTGCTCCAGGGGAGCCACTTTGCTTTCAAGGGGCCGTTCCTCAGCGTGAGGAGCGAGCTCGTGTTCCCGCCTTTATCCTGCTCCGCAGCTGAGACTTCACCGCTTTGGGCTCATTTAATACGCACGGAGAATTCTCGTTGTTACAGCGGTCTGTTCTGTAGTGGTGCTGCTTGGTCCTCTGAAGTAACTGACGTTTTGTTTCAGACTATTTGTCAGAAAACTCCTAAGGATTCATCAAAATATGAGAACTGCAAGCAAGCTCTGAAAGAAGTGAGCAAGGTACGTTCTTAAAAGTTCCGTCTGGATGCAGAGTTTTTTCTGCTTTGACTGCTTCCCTTCCCGACTTGCACTGCCTGCGTTTGTCATCTCAGACATCCACTGTGAAAGCGGCTGCTTCTGTGTTTCCTTAGTCACTTGAGGATTAATTTTCATGTTTATTACTCATTTGGATCACCCGTTTGATTGTGTAGCTGGACAAATTTATTCTGTTTGCTGCCAGTCCTTCCAGCAGAAAGGCAGGTGAGGGACCATGTGTAAAAAACAAAACCAAAAACCAACCAAACAAAAACCAACAGAAAACAAACAAAGCAAAACCAAAAAAAAACCCCACAACAAAAAAACCTAACAACAAACAAACAAAAAACCCAAACAAAAAAACCCCCAACGCTCTGTGCTGACAGTAGAGAAAAGAAAGCCTGAATGTTCTAAGCAAACTTAAGCATTCTTTCTGCATTACTGCGAGTGAACCAGCTCACCTTGTCAGTGGTTCAGAGTTGTTCTCTCCTCCTGTACTCGGGCTTTTTTGCCAGGAGTCGATGGTGGAAGAAGAGCACAAGTCCATTTTCCGTGCGTAGATTGTAAATCCCAACAGCACTTGGGTAGTACATTCCTGTTCCTTCCAGCTGAACCTGAGCAATCCATCAGGCTGCCTTTTTTTTTTTTTTTTTTTTGTCTAAATTGGTGGGAAATTCCAGCCCATCTGCTTAATACATTTATATTCTGGAAACAGACAACTCTTGGAAACAGAACATTGCAGTATGAACAGAGAACCGAAGGCTGTAAGGACTGGCTATTTGTTGCCTCCAGGATCTCACAATTTCAGAAACTATAGTGCATCGAGACTGTTGTGAAATGTGAAGTGCTGGGCATTCGTTACTGAAACGAGTCTTTCTCTGCACGTTGGGGCTAGACATTACCTTGGGCCTTGAACATTCTTCTGTACTTTCAAGGGAAAAATTGATGTTTTCCATGCATAAGTAGTGCAAACGGGAAAAGCGCTGAAGCATGAAAACTCTGAATTGTTTTATTTAAGAGAGGTCACTAGGGATTGTTTTTATGCTGAAATTACTGTTTGTTACTTGGGAAAATACCCTAAACTCGGCAACGCTGTACTGCTGCCTGCGCGGCCGGGACTTTCTGTAGGAGCAGCATGCGGCGTGTGAAGGGCGTGATGGTGAGGGGAGGAAAGGCCTGCTGGGGGCTGGGCAGCCCCGCCTGGTGGTGCGGGGCCAAGGGGACGCATCCTCATGCCTTTGCGCCTCTGCCCCCTGGTTTTGGGTGCTCCCGCCCCCCCACGCTGGCTTCAGTAAAACGGTAACGTGCTTGGCCGCGGCGTTCGACAGGCCAGCGGTGAGGAACCTTTGCCGGGATGCTGTTTGCCCGAGTTCAGCGAGATGGTGCCGTAACGTGTGGGCTGGGGCCGCCCGCGGCGCGCGGGCCGGCTCTGCGTGGCAGACGTGGCAGGTTGGTGGTTGTGGGGCTGATGATTAATGTGGCTCCCAGAGCTGTAACCCTCCTCAGTCAGGACTGGGGGCTGAACCTTAGCACCATCTGGGCTCCCCTGAAGAACAAATAATTCTCATAGTATCGTGGGATAATTTGGGTTGAGGGGGTCTCGGGAGGTCACCCGGCCCAAGGTGGAACCGCTACTGGGTTAGACCTGGTCGCTCAGGGCTGCATTAGCTGGTCTTGGAAAACATTATGTCTGTGACCCAGGGCGAAAATGTCAGCTCTTTAGCAAGTTTTATGCTTCCCCAGAAGTGCATTTGACACAGGAACAAGTTTGTATTACAAGTCTTGAGTACATTAAACCGGTTAAATAAACGTCTTGTTTCTAGCTGGTGCGTTTGTGCAACGAAGGTGCTCGGAAAATGGAGAGGACAGAAATGATGTACACCATTAACTCCCAACTGGAATTTAAAATCAAGGTATGATGATGATCTTTCTGACCATAAATAATGTGGCCTATGAACAGCTTTGACTATGTGTTAAGTTTTGATGAGTTCACTGCCAGCATAAACGAAGTCAGTTGGTGTAGGCCGTAATATTGACGTGGTTTCTCAGTCGAGGGAGACAAGTTCATGTGCTGGGGTAGCAGAAGCCCTGGAAACTCGGTGAGTAACTAAAGACTGTTGCATCTAACCAGGCAGGTTAAGCTTTGGGTTGAGGCTTTTTAGGGAAGGAGAGTTTTGGGATGTGTATTTTTTAAAAGAGTAAATTATCATTAATTACTGAAGAACGAGGTATGTTACCTTTGTGGATGGAAACCAGCCCCTGTCGGAGTGACAGTACCTAGTGGCACAGTTTTAGGCAGTTTTGTGTAATTCCTAACAATGTGTGAGATGGTCTCATCACTGCTCACGTGCAGAATCACACGTTGCTCAGCCTCCGTGTCCATCCTTCTCGTCAGTCGTTTCCTCAAGGCTCGTCAGAACTGGAATTGCTTTTTGTCCCCCTCTTTCCCCTCAGTAAAGCAACAGCAGAACGCACGGCATCGTTTCCAGTTTGTACAAGAGCTGCTGCGGTTCTCCGCTGCCCGTGGAGGCCGTGTCGTTGAACAGACACCTGGTGAACCGAGTAACCTGTTGGGGGCTCGTGCAGAACGGGGACCTGTTGGGTGGATTAAAGAAGTGTCTGGGGGCAGGCATGGCATCGCGAAGCAGTTCTGTGTCTCGTTTTGCCCCGTGGTCTGGCAGCGCGCGAACAAGTTCTGATAAACTCCGTCACAGTGAATCGATGACTCTGAGCTGTAGCCAGGTCGGAAGTTTGGCTTAGATTTCTAACTGCAGTTGAAGAACGAATCCTGTTTGTCTTCAAAGAGTGAATTAGTATTTGTGATTGAGACTGTAAACAGCGGGACGGTCACAGCACCTTCATAGCGCACAGTAATTCTTGCAAAGCAATGACCTGCTACAGGAGGATAAATATTAAAACTTGTGTCAGATATTTTTGTATTAGGTAGAAGGGTTATGTTACAGCAAAATGGTTTTTATAGTATCTGTTGAATGAAGTATTCTTTGCTGTAAAGGCAGAGTAAGTGGCTGTGAAGGTTTTGCTACTAGGAGAGAGGCCGACTGCTGCTGCTTGGTGATGGGACGTTCCCGTGTGCGTGACAGGAGAAGCTGCCTACGTAAATACTCCCAGGCCAGGGCAGGATCAAAGAGTATTTGACTGTCCGGCTTCACAGCAGCATGAAACAAAACCCCAGGCCTGTTGGTGGTTACCTTAGGACATGTTTCTGGGAGTTACAGTCTGTTTCTACACGAATCTGACGTCTGCTGTAAGAACCGTCAGTTTGAGGAGCCGTCCTCGGGCGGGAGGTGGCCGAGAGCAGGGTGGCGCTGGAGCCAGGGCGTTGGAGGCGGCGGTGGTGCGGCCTCCCCGGCAGCCGGGCACCCCGGC